CATACATACAGAGAACATAAAAAGGTGGGAGTTCCCCTACCAACTCTAAGAGGCTAATTAATTAAGATGAGCTATTGTCAGCAGGAGAAAAAAAACCTTTGTAGTGATAATCATGATAGCCCATTTAAGACAGTTTGACAAGAAGGTGTGAGGATACTTAACATGGGGAAATAGATTCAATGTGTGTAATGGCTCAGCCATTCCCAGTCTTTATTTAAGCCTAAATTGAAAGTATCTAGTTTGCATATTAATTCACGTTCAACAGTTTCTCGTTGGAGTCAGTTTTTGAAGCCTTTGTGTTGCAAAATTGCCACCTTTAAATCTGTTACTGAATGGCCAGAGAGGTTGAAGTATTCTCCTACTGGTTTTTGAATGTTATGATTCCTGATCTCAGATTTGTGTCCATTTATTCTTTTGCGTAGAGACGGTCTGGTTTGGCCAATGTACATGGCAGAGGGGCATTGCTGGCACATGATGGCATATATCACATTGGTAGATGTGCAGGTGAATGAGCCCCTGATGGCGTGGCTGATGTGATTAGGACCAGATTTAAAGGTGGCAATTTTGCAACACAAAGGCTTCAAAAACTGACTCCAACGAGAAACTGTTGAACGTGAATTAATATGCAAACTAGATACTTTCAATTTAGGCTTAAATAAAGACTGGGAATGGCTGAGCCATTACACACATTGAATCTATTTCCCCATATTAAGTAAGCTCACACCTTCTTGTCAAACTGTCTTAAATGGGCTAACTTGATTATCACTACAAAAGATTTTTTTTCTCCTGCTGACAATAGCTCATCTTAAGTAATTAGCCTCTTAGAGTTGGTAGGGGAACTCCCAACTTTTCATGTTCTCTGTATGTGTATGTGTATATATATATATATATATATCCTCAATATATGTTCCATTCTATGCATCCGATGAAGTGGGCTGTAGCCCACGAAAGCTTATGCTTAAATAAATGTGTTAGTCTTTAAGGTGCTACAAGTACTCCTGTTCGTTTTATCAGAGGGATAGCCATGTTAGTCTGGATCTGTAAAAAGCAACAGAGAGTCCTGTGGCACCTTTAAGACTGACAGATGTATTGGAGCATAAGCTTTCGTGGGTGAATACCCACTTCATCAAACGCATGTAATGGAAATTTCCAGAGGCAGGTATAAATATGCAGGCAAGAATCAGTCTGGAGGTAATAAGGTTAGTTCAATCAGGGAGGGTGAGGTCCTCTGCTAGCAGTTGAGGTGTGAACACCAAGGGAGGAGAAACTGCTTTTGTAGTTAGCTAGCCATTCACAGTCTTTTTTTAATCCTGATCTGATGGTGTCTGATGCTGTATCCTGTTCTCTTTGTGGATACAGACTAACACGGCTGCTACTCTGAATCCAATCTCTCCACAATGCACCTGAGAGATGGAGAGAGAGAGAGAGAGTGTGAGTGGGGCAGACATGTCCAGAGGTGACATGAGACTTGGCCTTGCCTTAAAATCACCTAAAACACAGGCTTTTGCCCATGGTATTTCAAACTTTTACGGGAGAGGGCCCCTGGAAACCTCACCTCTGGTTACAATATTTGTAGAGTTCCCGCAGCTCCTTCCTCTTTGTGGCCTACAGTCCTAAGATTGTGCAATCTTCTGAACAGACCCCATTTAACCAGTTACATGAGAATATTATTTGTTTGTGTAATTACTGGATGTTTCCTTATAGCTGTTCCTGCAACTTTATGATACCAGTAGGTGCATGGGGCTGTGTCTGCTCTCTGTGCATGCTATTAATTTTTCAACAAAGAAAAAATAAAATAAATGATCCCCATCTTAGCTTAAATCCTCTAATTTGCCATTTGAGATCCTTCCTAATATCCCATGATGAGTGGAGGGAAGTTGCTGACTGACGTCCTTGTGCCATGACTGGGCCATATGCTGTAGTATGACGGGTGTTATAAC